TATATATTAATGTGTAAAAGCAAAAAGTTGAGGTTGGGGTGTGTTTACTGTCCTAAGAAGAGTTGGAAGTCAATGCCCACTTTGCTTTCTTTTTCTCTTTCCCCTTGTATCTCATCCTCCCTTTCCCCTGCTCCCTTGCCTTCCCTACATTTCCCATTTTTCTTCCCTTCTTTGTATTTTATATAATAAAATAAAATCTTAGTAAACATTTAAAAGAAAGAACTTTCTATTTCTGCCTGGACGGAATCTATAAAAATCAGGGGTCAATAATTCAAAGAGAATCATTTCCACTGTTCACATCCCCAAATCAAGCAGCTTTTTCATGGAGGAAGAGTAGGGATCCGTTAAAAAAATTGTCAACCTTGAAAGCAAAAGAGAAGGGGTGGGGGGAAATCCTAACTTTCTTTTCTATAAACCCCGTGAGGAAGAAAGGTTCATAATTAGATGTGCATTTTAAGTAGCCAAGGCACAGTAGGAGGTTTAAAGCATTCGTATAAATTATACCAATCAGCAATGAAAGGAAAATAAATAAGGACATCAAACATGACACTTTCTGATAAGCAATGCATGCCAGTACTAAATCACGGCAAAGCAGCGGCTGAGAAAACAAAGGTTCAGATGTCATTATGAAATGAATTTTCAGCACTAGCCTTGCCACATTGGTAAATGCACATGATCATCTTAATGATGTGTGTTCAGAAGACATGATAAATCACCGTGTTCAAGGGAGATGGTGGAATATAAATACACTGAGAAAGCATTCTTGGAGAAATGAATGGCATCTTATAAATGAAGCAAATATCCATGAGCTCAACGTTTGCTTTTCTATATAAGGTTCACTGTTGGAAGTCTTGAGGGACCACGTTGGGGATAGATCTTCCTGGAGAAAAATCTATGTGACACTTAAAAGTCAATGTTGATTGGGTGGCACGTCATTGCTCAAGAGCCGAGGTGGTGCAGTGGTTAAATGCAGCACTGCAGGCTACTTCAGCTGACTGCAGTTCTGCAGTT